TCAGGGATGCTTTGATTTTGAGTTCCTGCATGGCAGGGGGCTGGACTGAATGGCCCTTGTGGTCTGTTCCATCTCTATGATTCTATTATTCTATGTCCGCACTGCAGAAATAATCCAGTTTGACACCACTTTCACTGCCATAGCCCAATGCTATGGAATTCTGGGAAGTGTACTTTTGTAAGACAGGTAGCCTTCTCTGTCAGAGAGTCCTGATGCCACAACAAGCTACAGTTTCCAGAATTCCATAGCATTGAGCCATGGTAGTTAAAGTGGTATCAAACTGGATTATTTTTGCAGTGCGGATGCAGCCTCAGTTAATTCATCAGTGGGGAGAGAAGAGGAGGGGTGCAATATTGCTCTTCCCAGTAGACTCAGGCAAAAACAAACTGCTACAGTCTATCCTAGCTTGTCTGTTCTTCTATATTAACAACTTTGGCCATCTTGACCACAATGCTGATGTTGTTTGACCACATGTGTCCTGGTTTTCATCTGTGAAATGTCAGAGGTCATGTAACTGGCTTGTTAACAATGCATCAGATCAAACTATTCATTCTTCTAGATTAGCCTAAATGTATCTGAGGAAGTAGATTGAAGTCTATGAAAGCTCATGCTGCCAACTTTTTTCTTTCAGTCAGTCTCAAAGGTGTTACAGGATCCTTTTACATACTGATTCTACAGACCAGGGATCCCCAAACTTTTTGATCTGGAGGCCGGTTCGCTGGCCCCCAGATCTCCGGGGGACTGGAGGCGTGCGTGCATGCACACGACTCGGGCACCATTTTGTCTTCCAAAATGGCGCCCAAGTCACGTATATGTGCGCACGATGCCGGATGCCAGGTGCATGCGTACGACTCCGGATGCCATTTTGGAATACAAAATGGCGGCCTGTGTCGCACGCGCATGCGCAAAACTCCAGATGCCATTTTGGAAGACAAAATGGCGCCCAGCGGTGTGCGCGGGTGGCAGCGGCAGGACTGGCCACGAGGTGGTAAGAAAGCCTCGACGGGCCAGGTCCAGCCCACGGGCCGTAGTTTGGGGACCCCTGCAACAGACTAACACAGCTATATCTTTGAATTCTAGTATTGTTTGTTTTCTCACTAGTTGTGAGCTTCCAGGGGCTTAAGCAGACAGTCTTCTATATTACAAGCCATTAATCCTTTTAACAAAGGAGACAGAGGATTCATCTTGGAACTCTCTATATGCAACCTATATAAACCTATATTCATCCACTGAATTTCTCTCTCATCGTTTTGGATCCCAAAAGAATCAATAGGGTTTTATTTTTTAAAGTGTGGTGCAGAGGTTTGTCATTTGCAACATGCAGAATAAGAGGAAAACTCAAACTCTTTTGCTAAAGGGCAGATTTAACACTACACAATATCTTGTCCATCACAGTTGGCATGTATAACCTTGGGCAAAACATACTCTCTCAGCCTTAGGGCTGTGACAAACTTTCTCTGAATAAATCTTGTAAAAAAAAACATGGTAGGGTCACCATAAATGAAATGTGCTGTGTATTGGTTGTTTTCTTTTTAACTTGCTATGTTTTAAACTTAATTTTGCCGGTAGTTGAATTACACTTTTACCTTTAATATGAAGTGAAATTTTTTGACGTATTTGTTTTAACTTTTGTATGTTGCCTGGAGTCTCAAATAAATATAACAACAACAGCAACAGTAATAATTTGGAGTTGCTTTGGAGGCACATATCAACAACTGCCAACAAACTATCAGTATCTCTTATACACACATCTTTAATTTGCTGAATTTGCAAAGTTAAGAGACAATCTCTAGAGTAGATGTAACAAACCTGGGGCAATCCAAGTGTATTGACTTAAATTCCCCATTTTCTCTGACCACTGGAGATTTTGGCTGAGACTCATGAGAATTATATCTGGCAGGCCCCCTGTTCGCAAGGAATTACCATTTTCTCTCTAGATACAATAATTCAATATGGTTATAGGATACCATAGCACTGTTCTGTCAATGCAAATAAAGCTCACTATATCAAGGAAACTGTGAACACTTACAAGATAATGTGGCACCATTATTATTATTATTATTATTATTATTATTATTATTATTATTATTATTATTATTATTAATTTTCAAGGATTTATATCCTGCCTTTCTCCCACAATGGGATTTATTGTGGAAACAGAGCAACATATCCAAATGCAAACCCCTAATGGGCGCAACCATGCCTACGAATACCCACACGTAGACTTCAGAGTTCAAACTATTATTTTTTAAAATTCGTGATTTGTTGATTTCTGCTCCTGCCCCTCTGATTCATGATTTCAAGAGTGAAAAACAATGCAGAAATCCCCAGATCCACCCAAGCAATGTTTTAGGCTTACCAAGTGACTTCCAAGCTTTGACTGACTTGGAACCTGATATGATGAGAAGCGATCACCCTAGACGACTCTCGCTTTGCAGCGACAAGACTAACAAAGAACGGAGAAAGTGTCTCCTGTCACCATTACATCGCTGGTACTGACAAGAGGATATTTTGGCAACGCTTTGAACCTTGATGCTTCCTCTTGCCAAACTTTCAATTTGACTACTTAACCCATGACCCCTCTGTACCTTCAACTGTCAGAGCAGCTGCAGAGGTTTTGACAGATGAAATCCCACTGCTTTTCTCAAGAGAGAATAGTGTTCCAGCAAACACTGCAGCCCCATCATCCTCTGATGGCATTTCCCTTGGAACCCTGAACTGTATTCCAGGATTTCAGCTGTTCTTGCATTGAACTGGTATCTACAACGCCTCCTCTATTCATCACTCATTGCTAAACCAAATTACCCCTCAATGTAATTCAATGCAACTAGGGACAGATGTTGATGCAGCTCAGTTGGATTTAATCTCCTCATGTCAATGCCTTTTGCTGCCCAGGGAAGTTTTATGGTGGCATGGTGACATTGCAACATGGGTGGATTGGCCAGCTGGATTCGGGATTTTTATGTTCTCTTTAGATTGTATTAATATATCTGTATGGAAATTTTAATGTTGTAAACCGCCCCGATTGCTCTGCAGAGGGGTGGGATATAAATTATTATTATTATTATTATTATTATTATTATTATTATTATTATTATTATGGGACCCTGCATTTGCTTATTAATTTCTGTGAGCTGCAATGTGAAGTAGAGAAGCTTGTTTTAAACAGTTTTGTAAGGTTTGTTTGTTTGTTTTTTCTTGATGTCTTTTATGTTACGGTTTTATGTATATAGGGGAAACTAATAAAGCTCAATTAAAAAAAAAAACATTAGACATGGTTCTACCTGCTAGGCTAACAGAGAACAGGGCTGCCCCTTCTTTTCTGTGACAGCCCTTAAGGTATTTAGAGAGTGCAATTGTATTCCTCACACACACACACCATCTTCCCTTCATTGTGGGAGCTGGATAAGCCCAGCTCCTTCAACCTTTCCTCATATGCTTTGTTCTCCTTACCTCTTGTTGTCTTTGTTGCCCTTCTCTGAACTCACTCCAACTTGTGTATATCCTTCTTAAGACAAGGCACCCAGAGCTGAACACAGTTCTCCAGATGAGGCCTGACTAGTGCAGAACGCTATGGGATTATTACTTCCCCCAACTTGGAACCTACGCTACTATTAATGCAGGCTAAAATAGCATTCACCTTCTTTGCTGCAGCATCACACTGCTGGCTGATGTGCAACATATGATCAACTTATCATCTAGTAAGGTCTTTGGAACATAATAAAAATCCTGAGGTTTTAACATATGCAGGGGTAACTGTCATGACTAATGTTTTTGTTTTTTTTAAAGGGTGTTTATTTATTGCCTCACAACCTGCAAAAGATAAAAACATTCATAAACAAAAAGAAACTTCTTTAAAATAATTTAAAAACCCCAGAACATTGACTCTTGGTTTTAAGACTGAAGGCCATATGAAAAGCTCAAAAGGGATGTAGGCAGCCTGACAGAGAACGCCCTGTCTTGTGTATTTACCAATCTAGCATCTCCCATTCACACTACAGCAGCTCTGCAAAGCAGAGACTGAGAGATGGTGACTGGTTCATCCAGGATGCTTCATAACCAATTTGGGATCTGAACCCAAGACCCCCTCAAGTCCTTGTCCAGAACTCTAATCACTATACCAAACTGTCGTCAACATACAGAGAGAGCAGAAACACTTATTTACAGAAGAGAGCAAGGCACTTCAATCAACACACCCATACATAAGCAAATTCCTCTATCTCTCGGCCATAAGTGACACACACTGACTCAACTCAACTCAAGACTTGTATTATTGTTGTTGTTATTATTATTATTATTATTTAGAAATTTGGAAACTATGCTTCTATTAATCCAGGCTAAAATAGCATTCTCCTTCTTTGCTGCAGCATCACACTGCTGGCTCATGTGCAACATATGATCAACTTATCATCTAGCAAGATATCATCAACTTTCATCCAGCAATTGTTAGTATCACTTTCAGCAGCAGGCAAGACTTATCCCTAGAGCGCAGACACATTTCTAGGAGGGGAACAGCAAATGTATTAGGTTCCAAGCCCATTGCTTCATGTGTTTCCCCTTTGAGAAATGTGCCCCAATTTTTTTTAAATTTATTATTATTATTATCCCAGACTTGAGACTCAACTTGAGACTTGAAGGTAGACTCGTCCTGAGACTTGAAGTAAAGACTTGGATACATCACTGGTATGGACTGACTATTGTTTTAAACATATCAATAGCCAATATATTAGGTGTCCATTTCAGAATCACCAATTCTTAAAAGTGGGAGGGGGGAGTGAGAAAGACACAAGTCATTCTCATGTTTAGAAAATGCTTATTGTGAAAACAGAAGGCAAGCACAATGCATTTTCTTTCAAAATACACCTAAATAGCTAACTGTGGGTATCTGAACCTTGCTTGAGGTCTCTTTGGCTTCTTCTTCCTCTGTGTGTGTGTGTGCCTTTAAATAGTTTCCAGTTTATGGCAACTCTAAAGTGAAGCTATCATAGAGTTTTCTTGGCAAGATTTGTTCAAAGGAGGTTTGCCATTGCCTTCCCCTGAGGCTGAGAGCATGTGACTTGACCAAGGTTACCCAGTGGGTTTGATGGTTGAGTTGGGAATCGAACCCTGGTCTTTGGAATGGTAATCCAACACTCAAACCACTATGCCACACTGGCTCTTCTTCCTCCTAATATGTGTGTTGACATTTTTCCACTCACTGTACCGGAAAAAGTACCCAGTATCCTTGGGTTCTCAAGAATCAAGCAAAGAACATCATCTAGAAGCAATGGGAATGGGAGAAACATTTAGCCATTCACAAGAGAGAAACTTCCACATATCTAATTCTTTCCCTTTCATTGGGTTTATGGACAGTTGTGAGTTTTCAGGCTGAGTGCAGCTGAAGAAATCAGAGTGCTGTGCTTGCCAATGTTTCAAGCCACAGGATACTGCAGTTTTACCTGTTTCATATACACATCATTTGTGATGCTCCTAGAGAAGAACAAGATCTCATTTCCTGGAATAGAGACACAGCAGTCACCTGGAGACACATGTAGACATAGCACAGCTTTTTTCTTGAAAGGTTATCAGAGGTCTTGGCAATGTCATCCATTTATTAATGCCAGCAAAGTTAGGAGTCCTTATCCGAAGGGCTGGGTATGTATGGCCCTCCAGATGTTGGACTATAATTCCCATCATCCATCATCATTTGCCTATGCTGGTTAGGGGTGACAGAAGTAATAGTCCTAGCCCTGTTTCACAGCCCTGTCTTGTCACTTGATATCTAATCCAACTAGTGTACTGAGACATGAAACATCCAGAATATTATAAATCCAGAATATTATAACCATTACTTAGTCCCATGGATATCAATGGGACAAGTTCATCATGATGACCAAAATGTAACTGGCTTAAACTCAATCTAACCAGTTGGCCATAATGCAATAAACCTAGTCAACTGGAATTTATAGTTTTTAAGTTAATTCAGAGAGATATCAGTATAACCAACTGACTCTAAACTGAAGTAGTATTGTGTTCTCATACAGAGGAACAAACAGAGAAATCTATGCATGTAACTCAAAGATCCCATTGAGTTCAATGTTGTTGTTTTTAAACTGTCATGGCTCCCAATAGGATACCTTGGGAATTTTAGTTTGGTTAGAATTCCCTGTTGAAGAACACTAACCATCTCTCACAGAACTACAGTTCCCAGTGACCCTTGGAAGCACTGAAGATTACCTGTGATAGAGATAGGATGTTTCTGTTGTGATTTTTCATTTCAAAACACTGCATTCCTTTTCAGATTGGTGGGGTTATTTCAGTCCTTGAACATGCACAAAAATTGGTCCAGCTGTCTCAGTGAAGAAGTTTCATATTTCAGATACATACACACACTGTATCATTTTGTCATTTCCAGTTTCTATGGAAAACTTGAACGCACTTGGAATCAATTATTTTGTGAACAATTTGACAGAATCCAGTATTATCTAGGGATGCAGTGCAGAACAAGCTCCCTTTGCTTCTCCCTCTGTTTTTTTAGTTTGTTCGCAGATGGCAACACAGAGATATGCTGCAATTATCAATTTCGAAAACAATGGAAGCCCTTTGAGCAATGGAAACTAGCTGCTCTCTCAAGCAACCGTCCCTGCATATCTTGACAAGGCTGTCAGCAAAATTATTCTCTCAGGCATCAGGGAGTGGATGCTGTTTGTGGAAAGGACAAGGCAGCCTGAGCTCACAGGGAAAAGACATTTATAGTTTCTGGGCTTGACACCAAAGAGCCCTTGCCTCCCTCACCTTTCTCTCATTGCGTGTTGGGATGAATGAAGCTGATGGGATACATCTTTTATGGGGGGGAAAAGCAAATAGTGATGAAAGCAACCACCACAATGCTGCAAAAAGGGCACCCAGCAGAGGTAGCTTAATCAATCTTCTGACAACAGCCCCCCCCCCTTTACCGGAGCTAGTCCACACATTATGTTGAAGCATTATCCCCATTCTGTCCTGTCCTTTTAAAAAAATATATATCAATATACTAGATTTACCTTTCTTTAGGTTTAAGCCTGTTTTGGTCACAAGAGCCCGACCGAAGCCCAAACACTTGTGAAACTGTACATATCCGAACATCCCCTAATCAATCCAAATATAGTTTGATGCAACATTAAGGTGCCTCCATGAGTGGACATGGTCTGTGATGATATGCATAGCACCGGACTTAGGGAGCATGAATGGCATGCAGGCTTGGCCATGCAGAGAGGCACAGGGATGGAGGAGCTTGCAAGAAAGCATACCATCACACACACCCTTACTCTGCATTTCTGATGGCTATCAAAAGCCAAAAGATGAGTTCTGAAAGATCAAATAAGACCAGAATCCCCTTTTCATCTCTTGTATATACCTAAGCATCCCCTTCTTGCCATCTCATTCCTGAGGACTCCAGATCTTGTCTAGGTGTTGTAAAGTCCATGAAGCACCATCGATCACAATCAAACCTTCCCTCTTCCTGAATATCTAAACAAACTCTCCATTTTGGAAACTTTCTCCAGTTCTGTCAAAGGGTAATCAAACTTTTGGTTTCCCATGGAACTTTCATGAATTGGTGTTGGTTCTAAGGGTAGAAATATCACCCCCAAATGAAACCTTTTTGCTGCAGTCACACACCCCCATCCTGCTTTTATGGTAACTGTTGCCCCCAGGCCTCAGTCTGAGTTTCTTTGTCTGTTCCCATCTGCCTTGCAAAATCTGCACTCTCAAACCTTGTGGTGGGAGCTTCCAGCTTTCCTGCTTTCCATAGACCATTTCTTCAGGATAAATAAATACACCCCGCCTTTTCCAACCCCTAGTCTCTGCTATCCCTTTCCATCTTTCTCTATTCAGCTCTGTATGCTGAGTATTGTTCTCCATGTGTGTGCTACTCTATATTTTCTTTAATAAAAGTTTGTGTAGTTCCCCCATGCCTGGAATCTTCATCAGTTATTACTGGTATAGCTGGTGCTGGGATCCTGCATACATTACCCTCTCTTACAAAGCCAAGCCACGTATTCCCTGAAATAATTAAAGAGAGACTATTGCTCTTGGTGGAGGCTCTACAAGCCCCACACATTTAGGATAACATAATCCACATAGACTGATGCAAAAATGAGTCCCACTTCCTTCCTTCCTTCTTTCCTTTATTAGACTATTCCTGCCTTTCTCCTGGGACAGGATCCAAGGCAGCTTCCAGAAGTTCAAAACAAGATTAAGGGTGCATCTCCACTATAGAAATAATGCAGTTTGACCCACTTTAAGTGCTGTAGTGCCATCCAATGGAATCTTGGAATGTGCAGTTTTACAAGGACTTTAGCCTTCTCTGTGAAAGCACGCTGGTGCCTCACTAAACTACAAATCCCAGGATTTTGTAGGATGGAGCCATTGCAGTTAAAGTGGTGTCAAACTGCATTATTTTCTACAATGTTGATGTACTCTAAATTAAAATCTCATTTTACAAAAGTTAAAAAATTAAATAAAATATAGTAAGAGTGTGATTACAATAGTTTAAATATATTTAAAGCATAATTACAATTAATAGATGAAAAATAAAATAAAATACAGCACACCATTTCACTCCTGCCATACTATGTAATTTATGACTCAAGGGCCCTAACCAAACAAAAAGGTCTTCACCTGTCAATGAAAAGAGAGCCAGGAGGGGGGCAGCTAGATTTCCTGTGGAAGGGAGTTCCACAACCTGAGAGCAGTCACAGAGAAAGCTCTCTCCATGTCCTCACCAAATATACCTGTAAAGATGGTGAGACTATGAAGAAAATCAATGAGAACAACAGTTGAGTGGAGGAGGATTTTGCCATGAAGCAAGGCAAGAAAGCTGCCTCATGAAGGGGAACAGAGCGGAAGAAAGAGATCTGCATTGTGTGGCTAATTCCACTGAGCAAATTCTTCTGCACAAGACTCCACTGAAATTAACAGGAAAGTGCACACAAAAGCAGCATTTGACATCTTCCATTTGTTTCAAGGACAAGGCTGAGGATGGGCTGGTGGTGGGCTGTTTCCATCCTACATACGTTTCAAATCACATATGAACGTTCTTCAGAAGCAGCTCATGTTCTGCACTGTAAAAGGTTCTACACAGTAAATGACTGCTTGGAATAAAGAAGATGCTCTACTGTCTACACCTGTCAAAAATGCAAGGTGGTTCACAGATGGAGCATGACGTAGACCAACATCACTGATTCCACTACCAATCCTTACAGCTAGTGCAGGCATCTAGTCATCTGCAAATCTTTACAAATTGCACACATGAGCTAAATGTACATGTGTGCAGTGCAAAGCCAGCCATGGGTCCTCAACAGAGTCACCTGTCCACTGAAACAAGTAGGAGTTGCGCTTAAGCTGTCAGAGGTTAAATGAAGGGGAATGGCACATGCTGGATATGCAGAGATCTCCATGGATGGAAACAATGGCTGCACCCAATGCCTATGTTCTTAATGGATGTTATATTGCAGGGATAGGCAACCTTTCCCCTTTAAGGACCGAGGGACTTCAGCTCCCAGAAGCCTCAGCCATGTTGGCCAATAGTCCCATGTTGGCCAATAGCTCCTGGGATTCTGGGAGCTGAAGTCCCTTGGCCTTTAAAGGGGAAAGGTTGCCTACCCCTGTTATATTGCATTAAAAAGTATTATTATTATCTGCAAGGGGGGGGAGTAAACTAAGATGCTGAAGAAATTTCACTAAATTACTTGTTCTCAATGAGACCAGCTATCTTTGTACACCAAGAGACCATTCACCTCAGCCAAATTTCTTGCTTATAATGGAGCAATGTTTTTTTTATTATTATTATTCCCACAGTATGTGCAAAACGAGCATCTTTTCCTTTGTGAGGCAAAGCAAGGCCATGTAGCAAGCCCAGGGGGACTACCTGATCTATAGAAAAGATGCCAGCAACTCCACTCAGGTTTCTGATTTTTCCCGGTGTCCCTCCAGCAAGGCAGCAGCTCTTCTAGGTTAGCTGTCACATTTCCACATTTTCTACAAATATCGTTTTGGCACATGTGAAAACTCTCTTGAGACAGACAGAAGCTATCTTAGTGCCTAGCAGGTGAAAAGGGTTTTGTTTTCCTTTGCATTTTGTTGCTCTCACAGGCAAGCATGAGATAAGGGAGGGTTTACACCCTATATATGCCAC